ATGTGTGTGTGTGTGTGTGTGTGTGTGTGTGTACGTGCGTGCGTGCGTGCGTGCGTGCGCACGCTTTTGCGTGTCTGTGTGTTTTTATTTCCCAAATCACGTACATTTAATGAGAAACGTTTTGTTCGCTTTTTGTGATCGCTTGCAATACTCTTTGAACCTGTTCTAACGTTCTCCTGCATAAAACTCTTACCTGAACAAACGACCACCTCCCTTCTCTTCCCCGCCCCCCTGCGTGCTCTTTTTACATTACACCGACACAGTGTAAGATGGCCACTTCGCTACCTCTGAACTACAAAGTTCTTTCTATCAGCACAACACCTCGTTTTGAGAAATTTCACTTCCAAGATTTTGAGTTTTGCATAATGTCAAGCTTTTTCGAGCGCAATTCCTCGAATATCTTGATAACGACCCCGAATAATCTTACGATTTTGATAGAGTAGACAGAACTTTTGGGTTTCTTTGTTTAAATATCATAGTCTTAGTAACTCAAAACGGTCAAAATTGTCAGATAAAACTTTGTAATTCTGAGGAAACGACTTGTCTAAGATGGTCCTCGACAACGGACAACCGTCTTACACAGGTTTGACACGCGAATACTTTCTCAAGTTTTCCGACTAAGGAAAAAAAAAGCATAACAAAAACTAGTAATCAGTCGATAACCGATTAAATTACAAGTCAGGTAACAAAAAACAAAAAAGGCTTACTCAATAAGCTTATAACCCATCATCCCGTTATCAAGATATTAGAATTGAATTACAGAGATGATCTGTCGGAATTTTGGCTTTTTGAATCCCCCGCGAATTACTTTGTTTTAGAAAAATCAATGAACGAAACATGACGCAAAAGGGCTTAATACCCACTGCGTCAGGTTGCAACCCCAATTTATTTATTCATTCATTCATTCATTTATTCATCCATCTATTCATTTATTTATGTATTTATGTTTCTACTTATTCTTTTCGTTTATTCAATTTTTTATTTATTTATTTACTTATTTATTTATATTTCATTCTTTCATTCATTCCTTTATTTATCAATTTATTTTTCATTCTTTCCTTCATTCCTTTATTTATTTATCTATTTATTTATTTTTCGTTCCTTTTTTCATTTTTGCGTGTATTTCTGTGTCTCCCCTGGCAGATCCCTCCAGCATGGGTCAGAACAAGGAGTATTTCTCCTCGTGGTACAACACAGACAGGCCATGGGTCGGCAGAGGAGACGTGGAGACGGTCTCCAGGATTGAAAACGTGAGTTGTTGGTGGGGGTGTTGTTGTTGTTGTTGTGGTGGTGGTGGTGTTGTTGTTGTTGTTGTTGTGGTGGTGGTGTTGTGTGGTGGTGGTGGTGTTGTTGTTGTTGGTGTTGTTGTGGTGGTGTTGGTGTTGTTGTTGTTGTTGTTGTTGTT